GTTTTTGTGATACATTCACTGAGATCGGGTATTTTTGATTGGCAACCTCACACAAAGCACGTACATCATGTCGGAGTACTTTCAGCGGTTTTTCAAGTACGTCGTCAATCCGGAAAAAACGAACATTGGTACGTTTGCGTAATTCAATTGTTCGTGTTCATGTATTATTTCGTGATCAAAATCCAAGTATTATATCACATACATCGTCATTTCCAATTTTTAATGTGGCCCGTAGAAGCTTCCGGACAGTCTAAACCATCAATACAGCCACCGTACACCTGTTGAGTGCACCCTAACCACTAGAGAAGGTCGTAGGTATATCGTGACATTGAGAGGAAATCGTTTTCGCGTGTTTTTTGATGAAGGATGGCGAGACTTTGTGCATGGTGAGGACATTATGGTTGACAACTGTTTGTGGTTCAACCGCACGTCCTTTACGGATTTCATAGTGACAGTGCACGGGGAGGACCAGGTGGAGCGGGATCTTCGCTACCGGTATACACTAGAAATAAAGAAAAGCCACGTGGAACGTGCGCGTTTGGTAATTGTGTATTAATCTCCTTTGTCGTTACGCTATGCTTACTTTATTTTCAACCGCTTCATCACATTAAAACTACCCTTCTATTGCAGCCGATTCCTATTAATTTTTGGCGAGATTATATTCTTACCGACCCCACGGACACTTTCAGAGCAATTTTGGAGTTTGAGGGGCGTACGTATGAATTACAAATCGTTCAAGGCCACGGAAAAATTTTGATGCAAAATTAGGATGCCGAGGATTTTGTGGACGCTACGCAAATGGTTGAAGGCGATACATGGCAATTCACATTAACCCCGTATTTTTGTGTGCGTTTCGAGGTTAGGTTGGTGTAGTGTGTGTTTGAATGTCACTTTTGTACCGTGGTTTGACAGTGAACTCATGTTTTAAAATATTTGTGACGGTTGTTGTGGATTTCTTGTACGCATGCACGAGACTCATGACTACTCTGTTATTTTGTTATAATTCATGTTCACATTGGTTATGTTCATTATTTTGTTATAATTCATGTTCACATTCGGGTTCTTTGCATATATTTTTCCCGCAAGAAATTGTGTTCGAGATTGGTTTGTTTGAACAAGGAAAAAAATGCTACTTAAATTATAATTTACAAATATTATATACGTAAATGTAAATAAATTAAATAAATTTTCTTACATTATTGTTCGCGCACTAATCTAATGTTCACACACGACATCGCGTCCGTTCGATTAACAAATAAACGAGTTTTTGCCGAACACGAACGAGGTTGAGTAAAAAGAATTTGTCCGCGAAGAACCGGAGTTGGTCAATAGATTTTAGCACAGCATGGCTTTATTGGTTGTTGTTCTTCAAAGATATTGGATACATTGCTAATCTAGTGTACAACTACATTGACAACAAAAGTGGAAATATATTTATGTGTAATTGGGTTTTTTTTGGATTTTTTGTGATATTTTTTAGTTTTGTTGTGAACATAATTGTACACTAGGATGACTATGTATTATTTTTGTTATATTGGCCTTACACTGTTGCGAAAAATCTGATTGATGGGTCTAATCAAAACAGCCGTATCAATGGCCTTGCATGTCGTAATGTTATTTTTTCCTTGTTTTATTGTGGCGTGATGTTGATGCATCATCTATGACACTGCATTTGTTGGTTTCTTTTTTATGTTCGGTACAACTTTGTTGCCTTTTTTATTAGGGTCAGATGGCAGTTGGATATAGATGTGGCATGGTGTTCTTTATCTCATTCATTTGTGGGGGCCATACTTATTATTAACCATAGGAGGTGGCAGGTTGGTCAAAAAAGATGTTGGAGAGGGAGAAAGTGGATAGGTGGTGTTTTGGGCGGGAGGGAGAAAAAGTGTAATAAAAAACCGGGAATGTGATGTGTGGGCTTTTTTTGTGAGTCTATATAAACATCATTTGGCTACGAAAATCATCAATAAAAATTCATCATGGTTTCTCAACCACCTTTGTGTTCATGCGGAAATGGTCGGATGTTCCGCTTGATGGCTAGAACAGAAAAAAATTATGGTAGGTATTTTTATCGTTGCCCGGCAGGCTTAAAACATGAGGGGAGTTTTCTTTGGGATGACGACAGTAATTGGTATTTTTCTTCAAGGGGAAGTGCTCAAACATATTGTAATACGCAATCCACTGCAGAAGGTAGCAGTCATACGATTCGAGGGTCCAACTTCTCAACCACGTCAGCCAACGAACAATGACCCACAGTCAGTCTTTGAAATTGCGACCGCAGATATCGTTAGAAGTTTTTTTGTGGTCGTCGGGTTATTAATTATTGTAGCACTTTTGAAATTCATCATGATGTATTGAAAAATATTTTATAACAAGTAACTTTTATTTGTCGCGTATGTTATTTTTCCAGTGTACCTATTTCCTATGGAGTTTACCGGTGTTTTAATGCAAATTATATCTGCAAATTATTTTCCACGTTCAACCAACGAATTTTAACGATACTTCATTTCTGCAATTATCCAGACATACAACAGTATTGTGTTAAAAAAATGTATATATAATTCATATACGTCATGTACATCAACATATATATTAACATTTATAAATGGTTGTTATTTACAAGTGTAAAAAATCAATGAATTTGAAGAGGATATAATAATATTATAAACATATTATGAGTTAGAAAAGTTATTGCAATGCATATAAAGAATATTGAAGTGGAAAGAAAAAAAATAATCTGTATGACAATAGCATGGCCCAAGGATTTTCAAAGGAAAAATAGAAATGAGTTGTAATTTTAAAAATCAACCTGTACGAATTAGGCATGGGCAAAGTTTGTATTGCCTATAAAATAAATTGGAAAAAACAACCTGTAATTGTAAAAAACAACCTGTAGCATGAGGCACGGTTTTTAATACCAAAAATGGAAATGAGTTGTAAAAATCAACCGTAGGAAGGCATGGGCAAAGTTTGTCTATTTGTGAATGTAGCTAATGTTGTGGTCTGCAACAAGGTGTACAGATTTCTTTGTCCATATTTGTACCACACGACAACTTAAAAACAACATGCAGATGTAATTGTACCGTAACGATGGACAGTACGCACTATTACATTTATATCCAATTCAATTATCACAAACACAATTTGCCTATATATATATACATTCATGTAATTCCCTACAAGTGCGTCTCTTGAATTATCTCCACTGCAAAACATCTATTTTTATTGTATTTTTGTTCAATCATGTGGGATTTATCGTTGCCAAAAACAAAGGAAGAACACTTCCAATATATACGAGAAGGGTTTTCAAATAAATGGCTTCCACCAGTTGAGGAGTCTTTTTGTTCAATCCTTCTACATTACATCCAGTCAGAAGGGTTGAACTCCGAATTTGACATTTTAATGGCGTTTGATAGAATATACCGAAGTTGTTTGGATGAAATAAGCTATATTTGACTTTGGAAGATTGCTATACCACATTCATGGTATTGAAAGAAAGGTATCGAACATTTAAATATTTTTTTGATTTTCCATTAGGTGTTTTCGACATACACGCGAAGACCGTCTATCTTCACGAGGATGATCGTGAGGAAGCACTTGAGGTACAAATTTCAACTTTTTTTTTCCCTTATTTGTTCATTTGGTTAAATAAATATGTTCTATTACGAACATTGTCTTAACTCCATTTGTTATGTAATAATATTGTAATTCTGAGTACATCATATTCTCTCAGGTTTGGGCATTAGCAAACCATTATTGTAGCAACAATCCTGAGCCTCTGTGGGAAACCTTGAAGATAATTTTCGAGCCACTAGGGATTGACCCATATCCTGGTGAAATGAGGGCGAGAGATGAACGTAACCTTCGCAAACTTGACCAAGTTATTCGCGAGTACTGGGCCGAAGAAAGACGTATGGCAGCACAACGAAGAAGGAGAGGAAATTGAGATTCTTGTCGCATATGTACTTCTAAGAATAAGGACTTTTCTTGCATTGTCGAACATTTGTAATCTTCATGGGTGTATGTACTGCTATTTTATATTCCAAATAAAAAAGTATTTGTGAAATGATAATTAATATTGCTTCTCTCAAGAAAATATTGTTGTCATCTATATACATATTAAAGCGGAGCAGCTGAAAAAAAGTTTGTTCTCCCTCCAAAACATCATTTTTAATATTAGGCCGCGCAACGGGCTGGTGACGTACTAGTTATTACTACAAATTGAAAGTATTATTATGAAGAAAATACCTTTGTGATAAACGTTTTTTTTTTGTTTGTTTTTTTTAGCATTAAGACTGAAAATAAAAAAAGGTCAAAAAAGGGGATTGACCATCTATTTCCGCAAACTGATAACATGGAGGCATCCAAAAATTGCCCTACCTGCACGTGATGGAAATGGAAGCCTCATTCTTCATTTTTTTTTTTTTTTGTTTTTTAAATACGTGATCACCAAATGCAATGAGAGCCCCCGACCAAGCACTGTAGCGTCTGTCAGGAAGTGTGAAAAAAGGGGAAGGCACGTGGGCCAAGAAGAAGCCATTCTAGTAAAGAAACTAGTTTACCCCTCCACTTTACTAGTTAAAAACTAGTAAATTTGCATTCTAGTTTGTAAACAATCATGTAAATTTTCTTAAAGGCTAAAGACATTTTGAAGGTAATTAGTAAATATTATTTTTTATTTGTATATAATTCAATTTAAAAACACCTACTGAAACAAAAATAATTTGTAAATAACAATAATATACACCATCCTTTTAAAATAAATAATCATTATTTGACATGCCTAATTGACATTTGACATGACACTCAAGCCTAAGACCATCTCCAATGTGAGATGTTGACTCAATAAAATGTTAGTCACATCATTAAGTTATAAAGTTAGTACAAAAATTACTCTCTAATCCATAATTTTAGGTTGACATGGATAGATTAAACCTCCGCATTGTGAAATCCACTTTCTAGTTTTCCATGTTCTGTTTGAAAGTCAATTCATCCAAAATCTAATAAATAATAATTGTTTATGTTCTTGTGATGCATTTCTATTCTTGTGATTAAGTTTTAATATTTTTTGTGTAATTTATTATTAAAAAGGTAAAATCCACCTATACCAATTTTATGCTTTTGAATGATGCATTGGAAATATGTATTCCAAATCAAAGTTTATCCATTTGACATTCATATTGCATGAATTTACATTTCATTCATTATTTGACATGAGTTAAAAATTTACTCCCTTCAAAAAATTAACATTGGAGATGTTCTAATTATGTATCAACTAGTAATTCATCATGTGCACATGCACAAATTACACAAAAAAAATAACACAAACTTTTTATAAGAAAGAAATACTACAATATAAAAAATTATTTAGTAATATATATCACATTTATAACTGAATTTTTACATTCCGTTTGAAATGCTTTTGATTGTCATCTTTCTAACACATCGTTTTCCTGCATTAATTATGTTGTCAATCACCTTTGAAGAATGTGAGACGCCAAAAAGGTGTCTCACATGTTCAGATCACGAGACACCACCCCTAGGACCCATCAATTGTCCACGTGTGTCCATCTTGTCTATACATGGCCCAAAAATTTGGGCCCTTAATTCTCGCATCTTTTTAAGATTGAGTTTAGTTGACCATTCTTGATGTAGAGCGTAGTACGAATTGGAAAGGATATGAGATACTCTCTCGTAAAATAGAACGATCAATTTTCAATTTCATCAAAATCTGTTCAACCTCTCGTTCCATACAGCATAAATAAAGAAGGAAAAGAAATAAGAAGTCTAGTCTTGCCCAAACACTTGCAAGCTCATTATTATCCTATCATAATTATTAAAATTACTAAAGGAAATAAACTAAAAAAGCACTAATAATAATAAGAGATAAATAGACTAAACCCGAAGTCGGTCGTATTTATTCAGAAATGCAAGGGCGGTCTCGTCTTCATCATCCTCCCCCGGTTGAGGAGGATTCGCCCTCGAATCCGAAGCGGTCTCGTCTTCCTCTGAGTTGTCTCCAACAAAAGGCACCAAATGCTTGACATTGAACACGTCCGATGTACGAACATGGGAAGGAAGACGGAGGCGATAAGCATTCGGATTAATCTTCTCAATTACCTCGACCGGGCCAATCTTCCGGGCCGACAGCTTGTTATACTCGTGGGCCGTGAACCTGTCCTTCGTCAACACGGCCCAAACAAAATCACCAACCGAAAACTCGACGTGCCGACGACGCAAATCCGCGCGCCGCTTGTAGGACTCCGTTGAGGCCGCCAACCGGGCCTGTGCCGTCGCATGGGTCTCCTTAAGCTCGGCAATCAGCTCCGCAGCCCGCCGATCGGTGGCCGCTAAGGACGGCAGTGCCAATAAGTCCGACGGCCCCCTGGGCCGGACTGCATAAACCACCTCAAACGGGGAAAGGCCTGTGGCGCGACTAACAGCCGAATTATGAGCAAATTCAGCCTGACTCAAGCGCTGGTCCCAACTGCGAAGGTTATCGCCTACTAAGCAACGAAGTAAATTGCCCAAAGAACGATTCACGACCTCAGTCTGACCGTCCGTCTGGGGATGGTAAGCACTACTGAAATCCAAGCGAGTATTCGCCATACGCCATAAGTTGCGCCAAAAGTGGCTGAGAAAGCGAGTGTCGCGATTCGACACGATGGAGGACGGAAGGCCATGAAGACGGTAAACTTCCCGGAAGAACAGTTGGGCCACATGAACCGCATCTGTGGTGCGCTTGCAGGGGATAAAGTGCACCATCTTCGAAAATCTATCGACGACCACAAAGATAGAGTCAAAGCCCCTCTGCGTCCGAGGTAAACCCAAGACGAAATCCATGCTAATCGCACTCCAGGGCTGCGAAGGAATAGGAAGGGGACGATAGAGCCCGGCGTTCGAAGCAACCCCCTTCGAAACGTGACAAACACGACACCGTTCGACGAACCGGCTCACGTCCCGGCGAAGAGAAGGCCAAAAATAAGACCGCCCGACTAACACAACCGACCGGTCACGCCCGACATGTCCAGCGCCATGCAGATCCGCAATGAGCTTCAATCGCAGACTACAATCCGGAATGCAAAGTCGAACCCCTCGAAACAGAAACCCGTCTGACAAGGAATAGTCCTCAACGGGACCGTCCGTGAGGCGACGTACAATCGACCGAAAGAACGAGTCATCAGCATACAACTCCCGCAAAACATCGAACCCGCATATCCGTCAACAACAAAACACGTCGGCTCAATGCATCAGCCACCCTGTTGGAAGCCCCCGAACGATGACGAAGGACAAAAGTAAACTGCTGCAAAAATGCGGTTCATGAAGCATGACGAGCCGAGATGTTGTCCTGCGTGGCCAAGTGGCGAAGGGCCTCGTGGTCCGTATATAAAATAAACTCCCGATGAAAAAGATAATGCCGCCAATGGCGAACAGCCCGAACCACAGCATAGAACTCCACGTCATACGTACTGTAGCGGGACCTCGGGCCCGACAGTTTCTCGCTAAAAAACGAGACGGGCCGACCATCCTGACCGAGAACAGCTCCAATCCCTACCTTCGAAGCGTCACAAGAAAGCTCAAATGCTTCGAAAAATCCGGTAACACGAGCAGAGGAGCAGAAGTCAACTTGCTCTTAATAAGAGCTAAGGCATCCTCAGCTGCTGGGGTCCACACAAACGACTTTCCGGTCAAGCAGTCAGTAATGGGAGCCGTAATTGTGCTAAAGTGGGAGATAAAATGCCGGTAAAAGGAGGCGAGGCCATGAAAACTCCGGGCCTCCGTAAAAGTCGTCGGAGACGGCCAATCCCGAATGGCAGCCACCTTACTCTCGTCCACACGAATACCCTCGGCCGAAATGACGAATCCCAGAAACAACACCGAGTCCACCAAGAAAAAACACTTACGAGGAGCAGCAAAAAAGGACTCAGCGCGCAAAACCAGGAGCACCTCTCGAACATGCTGCAGGTGCTCGTCCATCGTGCGACTGTAAATAAGAATGTCGTCGAAATAAACGACGACACTCTTGCCGATAAAGTCCCGTATGGCCTGGTTCATCACCCTCATAAACGTGCTGGGAGCATTGGACAACCCGAAAGGCATCACCATCCACTCGAAGAGCCCCTCTCGAATCTTAAATGCAGTCTTCCACTCGTCACCCGGGCGAATTCTAATCTGGTGATATCCGCTCCGAAGATCCAGCTTAGTGAAAACAGTGGCACCGCGAAGCTGATCCAACAGGTCATCCAGGCGAGGTATCGGGAAACGGTACCGAACAGTGATCTTGTTGATGGCGCGGCTGTCCACACACATACGCCACGAACTGTCCTTCTTCGGTATTAAGAGTGCCGGCACTGCACACGGGCTCAAACTCCGCCGTACCACCCCCCGTTGGAGGAGTTCCTCCACCTGTCGTCGCAGCTCCTCATGTTCTGACGGGCTCATCCTATAATGAGGCCTATTCGGCAAAGACGCCCCAGGAACCAAATCGATGTGGTGTTGGATGTCACGAAGTGGGGGCAAGCCCGAAGAAATCTCCTCCGGAAACACATCCGAGAACTCGGACAAAAGGGGACGAATAGCATCCGGCAGAACCGACTCCTCACCCTTATCAACTCCAACCAGTAAAAAACACCACGGCGCGTCACGCAGTTCGGCTAGAAAAGCTGTGCGCGAAAGAATAAGAACCGGTGCCGTGGTACCCGTGAGAGGCAAAGAACGAGGGGCATTAGGAACTAGAATAATCTTCACCCCGCCAAAAATAAAAGAATAAGTGTTAAGGCGCCCGTCATGAGTAGCTGCCCTATCGTACTGCCATGGCCGACCCAACAACAAATGACACGCATCCATCGGCACCACATCACACCACAACTGATCACGGTATTTGGAACCAATTGAAAAAGAAACAAGTGCACGACGATCAACAGTAACGGACGTACCTTTCTGTATCCAAGCTAGGGTATACGGTTGTGGATGAGGCTCGGTAGAGAGTTGTAATTTGTTGACCGCCTCCTGAGATATAACATTCTCG